ATCACCTCTCCAGCAGGGCCTGCCATGGCGGGAGGACGGGTGAGTGGCAAGGAAGGAGCCGACGGTTGCCCGACGGCACGCAGGCCAGCAGGGGGCGCAAGGGAGAGGCCTCCCCATGTCTGCAGCCTGGCGGGGTTGCTCCAGGGTGTTCCCGTTAGGGATGGGCCCCGGGGCAGCCACGTGGGCAGGAGAGGGAGCAGAGGCTCTGTGGAGCGGAATGTCCGTTGATTCCAAAGGGTATGGGGGCGGGGGCGTACTGAGGGCCAGGACACACACAGGTTGCAGGTTCAAATCCCGCAGCAGGTGGAACAAGACAATGCATCCGTTTGACAGGTGTCTGGGTAGCAGGGGGGCTCCCAGTCTAGCTCCTAGAGGGCACATTCGATTCGACCGGCACAGACACCACCAGAACGGTCGGTTGGTCATTGGCAGCCTCGGCAGAGAAGGGGCGGCGCCACTTACTTATGGGCACAGGCAGGGGGGGCGGGATGCCCAGGCAGTACTCCCAGAAGTCGGGGCAGCAGTCGGACACGGTGCGGTTGCAGAAGAGGTCGCAGTAGCAGAGGGTGTCCAGGTAGGGCACGGTGCAGGCGTCGTCCCGCCCGGGGCAACAGGCGTCGTTCTTCTCGCAGTACGAGCCGCCGGCGTCCCGGATCCCTCGCTCGTGCAAGCCGGGAGCCAGCTCTCGGCGGGTCCGGGCCCTGTGGGCGGAGAGATCCTGGGCCACCAACAGCCAGAGGGTCGGGAGAGACCACAGCAGCCTCATCTCGTGGCTGATGCTCCTGGATCTGCAGTGGCTGGGGAGAGAGGACGGGAGGTGAAGAAACGTTTCCTGGACCCCCCTGGGTTTAGAGCCTCGTTCCTAGGGCTGGGCGAAGCGCCCTAGTGCCACCCTGATCTCACCTGGGCCCCAGGCCAGCGGCACGTGCTTGGCACCAGGGCCTCCGAGCACAGGCCAGCGGGGCTTGCCAGGGCGGGTGTGTGAATTGGTGGCCGACAGGAGACCCTGGAACAAAACTTTCCCAACTTAGCCCAGCCCGATTCCCCTTCCAGTCTCCCTGCCCCGAGACCTCGCTGTGTCGCCCCCTGCTGGGACGACAGCCAGGCTGCGGCACTGCCTGCAGCCCACGCCGACGCTTCCGTCGGGTCCGCGGCAGCCACTCCGGTGGCCGGTAGGAGCTCTCCCAGCAATCCCCCCTGCAGCCTGTAGGGCACAGCCCCCAGCTCAGCAGCCGTACAGTGCGGCTCCCAGACCAGCCGGGGCCACGAGGAGGGCCGGGAACGCATCAGAGCGGGGTCCTGTTGAGTCCCCTCAGACTGGAGGAAGGGCAGGAGTGTGCCAATGTGGTCAGCTGCTGCCTCCATCTCCAGTGCTGGCCAGCCTCGGAAAGGGGGCCGGGCCGCAGGCTGTGACCCGCTCCACACCTGGGCCAGGCCATGTGCCCGCCCTATGTATGCTGCCTCAGCCTCGCAGTGCCAGGGCACGGGGCAGGGTGGGGACAAGTCTGAGCAGCAGGGTTCCCTGTAAGCTGAGCGCTTGGGTGGCCACCCAGGAGAGATTCAGGCGATTGGCAGAGCACCCACTGCCGCTCAAAGCGGGCGACCTGCGTGTCTAGAGGCGGTGCACACCTGCCCTTTCCTTGGTGCGCATAACAAAATTTATTCTGCATGTGGGTGGGAAAAGTTAGAGGGAACACAGCTGAGCCGCTCAAACACAGGCAGGGATTTCAGTTCCAAAGGGACGGGGTGGCCTGCCATGCAGCTGTGCACATCCTCCCCAGGACCCCCCGTCTCATCCCCCCATGCACTGCCCAGCGGTAACTGGTCCAAGGCTTTCATGCACACACTGCTGCAGCCACAGAGGCTCAGAGCAGAATCAGGCTCTACATGCCAATGCCCTCCCCCCCTGGACTCCGGTGAGGCGAGCCGAGGGGAGTGTGGTCCTCAGGGTGACATTAGTGGGGGCCCGGGGCTGAAACCTGCCTGCACTGGGGAGTTTGCACCAATTATCTCCCGCACTGGGGTGGGCTCCCTGCACCCAACCTGCACTGCCCACCCTCCATCTCCTTTCCGAGGCGCCTGTGAGCACTGTCAGGGACAGAGTTGGGAATAGCTCAACACCAGTGTTCCCTGTAAGGTGGCTGCTTGGGCGGCCGCTCAGGAGTGATTCAAAAGCTGCCTGGCTGATTCGCAGAGCGCCCACAGTTAGGTTTTGTTTCTACAGGTGGTGCACATTCACACATGCCTCGGTGCGCATCGAAAAAAATATTCCACACATGGATGGAAAAAGTCACATGTGTCTGGAAAAGATTAGAGGGAACATTGCTAAGCACCCCTTTAGCAGTGGGAGGAGGAGGAGGCTACCTCCCATGTCCCCCCCCCTTTTTTGACTCTGAGGATTTGGGATCACACGGCACCTCCACTAGGGCAGAGCACGTGGCAATTGACTCCCCCTTACTCCTGTGTCACACTCCTTCCATGCTGCTGTAAATGGCTGCATGATGAGAATGCAGGCCTGGAGTTACCGGCTGAGACATGGCCAGGACAAGCCTCTTTCCACCCGGCAGCCCCCCATCAGCATTAAGACTTGACACGGGCATCATGGCACGCCTGCTCCGAACCTGGTGTCAGAGCCGCTTACTCCTGTCCCTGGCTGGTACGTCTCGGGCCCCGGTCTCTCCTGCCCCTGAGCGCCTCCCAATTGATACTGTATTTACCCCATGCCTGTGAGGCGGGGCAGGGATCGAGGGGTCACCGAGGAGCACAAGCGAAAGACGAGTCCACAGAGTGACACTGTGGCAGAAAGACCCAAACGTTGTTCTGGGAGGTATAACCCGGGGGGTCGTAAACAAGACAGGAGACGTCATCCTTCCCCTCTGCTCTGCGCTGATCCGGCCTCACCATGGAGACGGTGCTGGGGGGAAACTGGCTTTTCAGCCGGCTCCCCCCCAGCGCCAGCTCCTGTCCCACCCCCAGTTGCTGCCTCTGATACAGAGGCAGCCAGGGGGGGGGCGCCTACCTGCTAAACTTAGGCTTGTAGGTTAGTCGACTAGCGACTCACTTACATCCCTAGCCGGCCCTGCGCTTTCGTCCCTGATCTGCAGGCTCGGGGTGGTGTCCGGGGCCTAAGATCCAGTGAGGACGGCCGGGCAGGGTACTGGCTGAGCTGTGGGAGGGCAGGACAGAGCTGGAGCAGCTGGGGGCTGTAGGGAAGGATCGAGGGGCCCACAGCAGAGCTATGGGGTGGAAATACTCCAACACCTGCTCCTGCGGCTCCCAGCTCCACCCCACGCTCAATCCTCCCTCCCTTTCATAGCCCCTTGGGTTAGAGCAGCACGGCCTGTAATTCCCTGCTCAGGCCCCCTGCCGTGGGTCTGAAGGTGCCATCAGGGCTGTGCTCCAGCCCTTAGACAATGCAACGAGTTTCAAGGTCTCAGCAGCCAACTGAGGCAGAGGGGAGGGGGCGGGAAGATGAAAGGCAGGGGAGGAATTTCAATCCATCTTTGCCAGGGGAGCAAGGTGCCTTCCTTCTGTTAGCTTAACCCGCCGACCTAGGGCTGGGACCTCCTGGGAACAGGCTGCCTGGAGCATGAGCAGCGACGCTGAAGTGGGCTCGGGAAAATGCTTGGAATCTGGGGGCCGGTGCTCATTCCGCGCCCGTACACAGTAGCACGGAAACCAACCCTGGGGGCTGCCCCCTGCTGGCACTACAGAGGGACTGTAAAACAGCAGTGGTGCCCCACCCCAGAGGAGGCTGCATTTCAGGGCTGGGGGAAATCAGGCAGGGCCAGATCCTGCCCCCGGTCTGCAAAGCGTGGTGCCTGTCCCCGAGGGGGGGAGGAAGCTTGCAAAGTAGGGGGAAGCAGCTCCCCCCAGCAGCACCGCGAGGAAAGGCCTGTGGAATTCTGCTTTCCAGCCCCAGCCCAAACACACCCTGCCGGCTGCCTGCTCCCTGCTCCGCCTCAGCAAAACACACCCGGGGCAAGCAGTCTAGGGGCAATGACATCCCAATAACCTCCCCCCCACACACACACTACACAATACTCTGCCCCCACTGAGAGCCACAGCCTCTCCCCGGGACCCCAGAAAGATTTGCAACGCCTTCCAAAGTTCACCCGGCGAAGCCAGGGCAGGCTGGCAGCTGCCACCCCCTCGGCACCCAGCCCAAAAGCTACCTGCCGGTCTGGCAGAACCAGAACCTGGCTCATTCCCTCCCCCGAAGCAGGGAGAAAAACAGGAAGCCAATTCCTCCCCCACCTCCATGCAGAAACCAGCTGCCCACAGCTCCAACCAACCCCCCCGGAGGGTGCAAAACCCACCAGCACCCGGCCTCCTCCTCCTGGGGTCCCCCTGCAGGCCAGAATCTCTTCCCACAGCCAGAGCAGAGCCTCTCCTCTGAGCCTGGCTCCCGCACACTGGTGCAAAGGGGCCCGGGAGCGCCTTATGTAGCCTGCCCCGTCCACCTCCACCAGCAGCAGCCAGCCAGGCTCCCCGGGTGGGGAGGGGGTGGGCGGCTGCAGCGTTCACACGCGGATCCTCCTGGGGTCCCCCTGCAGGCCAGAATCTCTTCCCACAGCCAGAGCAGAGCCTCTCCTCTGAGCCTGGCTCCCGCACACTGGTGCAAAGGGGCCCGGGAGCGCCTTATGTAGCCTGCCCCGTCCACCTCCACCAGCAGCAGCCAGCCAGGCTCCCCGGGTGGGGAGGGGGTGGGCGGCTGCAGCGTTCACACGCGGACGAGGGCAGCTCCCTGCGCTGCGGTTTGCCTTGGCACGGAGATTTCTGTCCCAAGCCCAGCGCGGTTCCTTCCCCTCCCTGCACCCCAGTGAACTCTCGGCTGCACAGACCCAGGGCGGCCCCCAGACTGGATCAGAGCTCCGGCCCAGCACTCTGTTTCGGAGGCTCCGACCTGCCGAGGTGCAAGAGACCTGCCCCCAGAGAGGCAACCGGTGTTCCCTGGAAGCTGTGCGCGTGGGCGGCCACCCAGGAGAGATTGAAATGCCCCCAGTGGATGAGCAGAGGGCCCACAGCCTCCAGCATGTGTTTTTCTGGGTGGTGCACACCGGCCCATGCCTCAGTGCACAGAACAAAATTTATTCCACTGCGGAATGGAACAAATGAGAGGGCACATTGGAAGCAACCCGCTCTCAGGGCTTCATTGGGACGGCAGGAGATGCCGGAGCTTAAGCCAGAGGTGAAAGGCAGCTGGGGCACCCCGGTGCAGCGCTCCGGCAAGAAGCAGCCGGCTGCAAGGGGAGGGATGACGCACTCCCAGCCTGGTGCCTGGGGCCTCCTGCAGGCTGCCACGCGAAGCAGCAGACAGGTGAAAGGGGCTGGCTGGGGGCATGGCCCTCGTCCAGGACTGCTCCCCGGGGGTGTTTAAAGAGGGGGGTGCTTCAGGGCACATACAGGTGACTGCTGCATTTCTTTCCCTTCCCGACTGACAGGGAGCGAGGGGAAAGTGCCCAGCCTGCGGCGTTCCTCTCCCTCCCGGCTACCCAGGCTCGGCACTTTCCCCTCGCTCCCTGAGAGTCGGGGCATGGGGGAGAAGAGCCGCAGAGACCCGAT